GATCCTTCTGCAGTTTTGGATATCTGAGATCTTCTGCCAGCATTCAGTAGCTTTTTTTTTTTTAATTTTTACCACATATAGATGTATTTCTGCTATGTTTGTGGGAGGAGGTCAGCTCTGCATCCTTTTAGCTTGACATCTTGATTGGAGCCCCTGTGCTTCTAATAGCAACACCTCTGAGTGTCCATTTTGCCTTATACAGATCTGGATAGAGTATTATATAATTATTCTCTAATCTTAGTTAAAAATGGCTATCTCAGAGTTCTTTCCCTTTCTTTCTCTCTCTTTTCATGTGTATTTTCTGTGTGAAGATCACATCTTCTGTTTTTGTTTTCTTCATTTAAAATTATCTCTTTATAATATTTCTTTGTCTAATTAGCTACTGAAGGCTTCTTATTATAATATTTAAGTTCTATACATAAGATGTTAGTTGTACATATTTTTCCAATGTGTTCTTTTAATTATGATTGTCTCAGAGGCATTACTACTCTTGTTATTGTTATTACCAGTGCTGCTAGCATCACAAGAACTGTTTTTATGTTGTTGAGTCTGTCAGTCTTCCAGTATGCTGATTTCTAACATAGAGAGTCATATTTTCTGTGGATGTTAGCTGAATCTTCTCAGTTTAGGAGTTTTAAAAACTTACTGTATTCGCATTAAATCTGAAATCACTGTATGTGTTGTTATGGGGTAAGAATCCAAGGTTTTTTCCTCTTTTAAATTCTGATTCTCCCAGCACTTTACAAAATAAATCTTTAAAAGTTTACTTTTATTTATTTTTATTTTGTGACTGTGCTGAGCTGCATGAAAGTAAAAGTGAAAGTGAAGTTGCTCAGTCCAGCTCTTTGGGACCCCATGTACTGTAGCCTACCAGGCTCCTCTGTCCATGGGATTTTCCAGGCGAGAGGACCAGAGTGAGTTTCCATTTCCGACCCCAGGATAGAACCCCAGTCTCCTGCCTTGCTGGCAGACGCTTTACCATCTGACCCACCAGGGAAGCCCCATGTGGAAGCGCTGAGCTGCACATGGGATCTTAACTCCCCAGCCAGAGGGCAAACCCAGGCCTGCAGTAGCAGTGTTGTGTCTTAGTCACTGGACTGCAAGGAAAGTTCCCCAGCACTTTGAATTGACTAATTCTTGTTAAATCATTGATTCATATAACCTCTGACTTTCACAGAATTATTATCTAGAATAAGGGGAGCCATTTTTAAGCAGATATAATTTATATTTTACTATTGCACATATATTTCAGCTAAGTTTTTCCTCTGCATATTTTATTCTCATTGATCACAGAGTGATAAGTGAGTAAAAAGATAACTGTCTAATCAACTAGATGAGTTAATAAGCCCTGATAGTTAATACGGTAGAGATGCCAGAGCAGTTTAACCATCTTAACATCCATATCTTAACATCCACCTTAACATCCATCCATATCTTAACTATGGAAAAAAGAAAATTATGAAACATTTAAGAGGCAAGATGTAATCACATGCAAGTATTGAACCCAAAGCTAATTTGCTTAATTTGTTCATAAGTTTCTATAGTGTGTTTTTTTTTTCCATTCCAGAAGTCACTTTAGATAAAGATTCTGATTCCTTTTTTGACGTTTAAATGCTGACAACTTTCAAGCTTCATCCTTCTCCTTCCTCTCTATCTGGACAATCTGATAAGAAAAACTAAGTGTTCCCTCCCATGACTGCAGGGAGAAGTTCAGAATGCTCAACCTCACCCCAGAAACTTCAGCCTTTATACCCCCAATCACCATAACACTCTAAGTCAGTCAGCCCTTCCTTCTCTCTCAAACCATATTTGGAAATACTTAGAAGAAAATATGTTATTAGCCTCTTGATACATATGTGGCATCAACAATCTCAATATCTAAACCAATTTGGGGATCCATCCTGCCCCTGTGGAGATAAGTACAATACACTCAGTTTGATCTCTCTAGTAGTGACCAGGTACAATCCTGACCAATCAATTGTTGTTACTGATTATTAAGTCTGAATTACCATTTACCCAAGTGGTTTGTTTACTTTCTATCTCCTTTATTTATTTATTTTAATTTAAAAAGTAAGTTTCAATTGAAGAGAAAAATTATAATCATTACCTTGCCCAATAAGTTGGTAAGTCCTTCTTTCTTGAAAGATAAAAAAAAAAAAAGTTCTAGAAGTAATTTAGTTATTTCCATTTTGTGCAAGGAAGAGAATGGTAATAACAAAATAATAGAAAATAGATATGAGTGATGTGAGAAACTGATGAATTATACAGAGCCTGTAAATACTTCTGGAGATATCCAGAGAAATCATACATGAGATGAACCTAGGTAACTTCAAAGACTTATTAGTGTTTTGAAAAAAGGAAGAAGATACTGACAGTAATGTGCATTTTATAAAGCCTTTATGCAAAGAAGTAGTTGATAAGAAGCAGGAAGATACTTTGTTTTATAATTCTATGAAATTAAAAATCCTGGGCACATTACCTTATTCTATAATAATCTAAAGAAAAAAAAATCAATTTTCTTTTTTCTCCTTGATTCTTTATTTTTTCCTTCTCTGTTTATGTTTACATATATGGCCCTTATTCCATGAGTGACTTGAATTCACTTACTAGAAAATTCATTAACATAAAATTTGCTCTCTCTGACTTACTGCAGTTTCCTCCCAAAATGATGTCCTTGCTAAATTATAATGAATTTCAAAATTTGGAAATTAAATTTAAAAGGGAAGTTTATTCTTATTTACCATATTTCCCATAATATTCCAGAAGTCACTTTAGATAAAGATTCTGATTCCTTTTTTGACGTTTAAATGCTGACAACTTTCAAGCTTCATCCTTCTCCTTCCTCTCTATCTGGACAATCTGATAAGAAAAACTAAGTGTTCCCTTCCATGACTGCAGTGAGAAGTTCAGAATGCTCAACCTCACCCCAGAAACTTCAGCCTTTATACCCCGAATCACCATAACACTCTAAGTCAGTCAGCCCTTCCTTCTCTCTCAAACCGTATTTGGAAATACTTAGAAGAAAATATGTTGTTAGCCTCTTGATACATGTGTGGCATCAACAATCTCAATATCTAAACCAATTTGGGGATCCATCCTGCCCCTGTGGAGATAAGTACAATACACTCAGTTTGATCTCTCTAGTAGTGACCAGGTACAATCCTGACCAATCAATTGTTGTTACTGATTATTAAGTCTGAATTACCATTTACCCAAGTGGTTTGTTTACTTTCTATCTCCTTTATTTATTTATTTTAATTTAAAAAGTAAGTTTCAATTGAAGAGAAAAATTATAATCATTACCTTGCCCAATAAGTTGGTAAGTCCTTCTTTCTTGAAAGATAAAAAAAAAAAAAGTTCTAGAAGTAATTTAGTTATTTCCATTTTGTGCAAGGAAGAGAATGGTAATAACAAAATAATAGAAAATAGATATGAGTGATGTGAGAAACTGATGAATTATACAGAGCCTGTAAATACTTCTGGAGATATCCAGAGAAATCATACATGAGATGAACCTAGGTAACTTCAAAGACTTATTAGTGTTTTGAAAAAAGGAAGAAGATACTGACAGTAATGTGCATTTTATAAAGCCTTTATGCAAAGAAGTAGTTGATAAGAAGCAGGAAGATACTTTGTTTTATAATTCTATGAAATTAAAAATCCTGGGCACATTACCTTATTCTATAATAATCTAAAGAAAAAAAAATCAATTTTCTTTTTTCTCCTTGATTCTTTATTTTTTCCTTCTCTGTTTATGTTTACATATATGGCCCTTATTCCATGAGTGACTTGAATTCACTTACTAGAAAATTCATTAACATAAAATTTGCTCTCTCTGACTTACTGCAGTTTCCTCCCAAAATGATGTCCTTGCTAAATTATAATGAATTTCAAAATTTGGAAATTAAATTTAAAAGGGAAGTTTATTCTTATTTACCATATTTCCCATAAATAGGAGTGAAGCAAGTTCAAATCACAAGATCAATATTCAGAAGCAGAGAATTGAATACAACCAATTAGGTTTCAACACTTCTCTCATCTTTGAAATTCAGTTTGTAAAAGTTAAAGGGTTTTATCTCCATAGTTTTAGTCCTCATTCCATTCAGCATGGGCACTGATGTGTCTGTCTAGCCATTTATCTCTAGTATTTCATACTGTTGCATCTGAACAAACGGTTTCACTTGGAGGAATTTTAGATACATGTTTTTATGTATATGTATATATGTATCTATGTGTCTAAATATATATGTATCTGTATATATATATGTATGCACATGTGTGTGTGTGTGTGTGTGTGTGTGTACACACACATTAATCATGTAAGTAGAAAACACCATAACTTAGTCCATTACTTTTCCTGGTGCAATTACTTTACATCAATCCATTTTTAATTGCGAAATGATAAAGTCTATTTTCTCCTTCTCTATTTTTACTCCTATTTCTCCTAAATCTTGTATGTCTGTTCATTGCTAAGGAATGAAAGCAGTGTTGCATTTGCACATACGACTTTAAAGTTTAAGTGAAACATCACTTTTGAAAGTTTCACTCTGTTTTCTTAAGACTGCAGTTTCTAAAATGCGAACATGGCTGTCTGATAGATTTAGAAGGCTAAGACGTTGATAAATGTATTAAAATTAATTTAGCCTTGTGATATAGAGGCTTTGCTATTGAGCCAGACTTAATCTGGTCAATCTCCTCTACTCTAGAGGTCAGAAAGTACTTCATTGAAAGATGTCAAGAAGGTTGGTTTTCTGCAACATCATCTCAGACACTGTCTACATATGTTTGAATCTTCACATATTGTAAACATGGGATACACACACACACACACACACACACACATACTGAAAAATAATACATATTTGCTTTTAGAAATTTAATTGTTTTCAAATGTATTATGACATATAGTTGTACAATTTCCCAGTGGTTTCTGAAAGAGAAAATTGTTTTACTGTTGAAAAACTGTTTTTCAAGTTTTGGTTTCTTCTTTAGATCAAAGGTAGGATATGAGGGAGAAAAAGAGGATTGTATTTTCAAACTGTCATTTAGATATGAGTTTTAGAATTGTTAATACTGTAAAATAAATGAACAGGGGAAATTGGCATATATACAGTTCAAGGAAGAATTTGGTTAAATGATCACCTGTCATGCTTTAGAGAATTTTTGAAACTTAGACTGGGAATTTGAGACCTAATTTTTCTCAATCATACCTCAGGATCCTTATTAAGGTTTTTCCTGACTGCACTGCACAAAGATCATAATCATACCTTTGTACTTTTGGTTGTAGGGGAAACAATTAATACAGTTTTGGAAGGGTAGTGGGTAAATATGTTTCAAGGGCTACTAAAATCTTCAAAGTCTCATTGCATGATCTAACTTGTAAGAATGGAGCAAAAGATTACAGTGAGAGGGAAAAGAACATGTAACATAAGTGTTATGTTTTCCATATTAAAGTATTTTCATTCAAATTAATTGAAATTGAGAATATTATGACATATGAAAACATGACATATGAAGCCACTAAAATTTTTCACATGCTACTTAAAACTATATACATATCTCTTTTTTAAGATGAAAGCAAGACAAAATATGTAAATATATAAGGAAGCCATCTCAGTGGCTAAAGAGTTGTTTCCTGAAGGTGATGTGCAGGAGGACATAGTGATTTAGGGTATTTTTGACTAGGAGGATAACTTTTCCCCAAACCAAATATTCATGCATGTCCAAATAGAGGTATAGTTAAAAGGGTGTGATATAAAGTGGGTATGTTAGGGCATTTCCTTTGAGAAAAATAAACTACTGCTGAGAGACAGTTGGTTTAGGTAAACTTAATATGAGACTGCAGAATTCTGGGGAGTAACTGACGAGGTAAAGAAAGCTCCAGACCTGGGCAACATTCCTACCCCAACAGTCAGCTAGAGCAAAGGAGTACCCATGATGTCTTAGAGGTTTACAAGTGGATTGTACTCAGTCACATCTGAGCACCATGGACAGACCACGCACCTGCAGGATCAGTTCGCCCTGTCTTAGAAAACCAACTGCAATGAAATACTTTTGAATTGACAAGCATCTGGAAATTGAGACTATCAGAGAAGCTGCTTGCTGGTGCAGAGGTGAGTTTTGGGGTATCCCTACTTGGACAGAGATTGGGCTGATTGAGATAAGCTTTCTATGAGGAGGAAGGGGGTATAGAAGACTCAAGTCACTGAGTGGAGAAAGGCTAAAGTTACCATTTTTCTTCTAGAGGAGACCAGTTATGCCTGAGGAAACAGATCCTGCAAAGAACCAAATGACTCATCTCTAGGAGCCTCAGGCTCACCACAGTTTTCATGAGGTAATTATGGCATAAATTTTCTGTCTACCTGACCAATGGCTTCTGCCTTTTATGTTGGTTTCTTTCTCACCTGGAATGATTCAGGAAGTGGAGGGTAGAATGAGAAATCATCTAACCCTGAAGAAGGAAGGAATGCAGCCCAGAAAGTTATTGCCAAACAGGAAAATCAGATTCCCTTCAACTTTTAAAAGACTGGACTAAAGCAAACATGGATATCAGTAGAAGTCCTCTTTAGTGGTAACCATTATGATGAAACCTGAAATTATGCATTGTGGAAAATAAATTATAGATAAGTAGGTGGATAGATAGATTTCTTCTGGTTTTATGTCATATTAAGAGCAAGAGGCCATTTTCTCAAAGGGAACAAAAATGTCTTAAGACACTCTGCTGGGTGAAGGGTGTGAGGAATAGGATAAGCCACACTGACTGGGGCAGTGAATGAAGCTTTGGGAGCCAGAGGTTTTAGCTGAAAGCAGAAAAGACTGAGAGGTTAACTGTCAGAGGCAGGAATAACTGCCAGATGGTACTTGAGAGTATTGGGAGGGGCACAGAATAGAGCCCGCGTAAGAGTTCCACAGGCACTGGCTGCTCTCAGGGAGAAACCCTTCTGTTTTCAACCTAGTCTGAAGCATGTCTGGTCAATAAGGCTCTGTGCTCTGCTGGTGAGTCCCCTAGCAGTAGTGTCTGGGAATAAAGAAGGTTAGAAGAAAAGAAGGAAACATTTCTCTTCCGTGCCACCTACCAGGCTTTCACCAGAAATTAAGTCTACACATGGAAGTCTCCATCATGGTGCCTAAAAAAGAAAAAGAAAAGAAAGTGAAGTCGCTCAGTTTTGTCTCAAGATTGTATAAATATTCAGCATCTGTGCTGTGTATGGGGGGGGCAGGGGGCGGTGTACAGACATAAAGATTCACTTGTTTTCTGCTTTTTTCTTCTTAGCTAACCTGACCACAAGATGACACCCATGTTATCTGCTGGAGATAGCCTGATCAAAAACACTACTGTTGTGGAGATGATTCTTCTTATCTCCTGTAATCCCTTACCTTTCCTCTGTCCAACCATTAAAGGGAGCAGTTGCCTAAAGATGTATGATATGCAAGTCCAGATGCTAAAGAATACACAGATGAGTTAGAGGCAGGAAGAATTCTTGGTGTTCTGGGGGACACTTGCCTGCCCCCTGCTTACCTGTGGGCACTGTCCATCATCAACCCCAACGTGATACCCGTGATACCCATGTGGAAAAGGATGACATCGAGCAAAGAGCATAGGTGGAAACTTGTTCTCCCCACAACACATCCTCAGCTGCTTTTGACACCAAAGCTTAAAGGGAGAAAGAAGACTTGCTTCCAATGGCTGGCACCACTCTCAGAATCCACCTGTCAGATTCAGACAGAGGTGTAGGGGAAGGAGGAAGGCAGGTGGCTTTCTAGGGGAAACATGGTAAGAGCTTGAGGACCAATGGTCTCATTTTGAACTGGACTCAGCAAACTCTGTCATTCCAACAGTGATGCTCCCATATTTGAGAGGCCAAGTAAAAGTCTCAGCTTGGGTTTCTCTGGCATCCTCAGATATTGGAGTTTTTATGTGAATTACTAAGGATTGTCCAATTTTACCTAAGGGGGAAAAATATTTCCAGGATACATCAAGGTTATCTTGAAGCCGAATCTTATTATTTCTTAATTTTCATTAGTACCATGAGTGCAAAAGTGCTAATAAGCAGGAGATATTTTTAAAATCAGCTATGGAGAGAAAGATAGTGCAACTTTTGACAAAGGGAATGCAGAAGCCAATAGATTATATGGGAGCCAGGGGGTATGGCTGTGATTTACAAATGGAACTCTGGAAAGATAGACTCTACAGATTGATCTGAGTGTCACATAGACTCTACAGATTGATCTGTTTATCTGCTGTAATAAACACAGGGTAACCCCACGAGTGGAGTGTGTAGCCCTCTTGCTCTCAGAACAGTATTTTAGCAGGGCCTTGGTTTATCCACAGAATGGCTAGAGGGTTTGGGACCAGTGACTGGGTCAGGGCGGAGCTGAGCTGTAAACACACACTGAAACAGAGGGTGATGGTCACACAACCTCCTGTGAGTCTAGTGTGCAGAGTGGACCAGGATTGGCCTCTCATGTCTTGGTAGCAGGAAGGAAAGAGCACTTCTGTTCAATCTGGGGATTGAACATTTCTGGGGAAGGAAAAATGAAAGTAAAAGACATGTTCTCTCTCTCCTCAGATGATACAGGCATAGGAAATTAAATGGTAGTGAATGAGTAATGTGAAGCCTCGAAGAAGCAGCTGTAGAGAAGCCAAGAGAAGCCCAGGTGCTAAACCAGTGCCTGGGAGACGCCCACCTTGCTGGACAATTAGTAAGTGCTTCCTAGGTGGGACATCTAAGTCCATCTAGAAATCTGATTTCAGCCCAGACTGTGGCTCCTGCCACTGATGCTAATGGTCCCTGTTCAGACATTCCTGGTAAAGGAGAGACACTGGCTTCCTTATGGACATTCCCATATGCAGGATAAATGTGGAATTCATGACCAATAAATTTATAGCTGCTCAAGGTAATTATTTCTAAGAATGTTTGGCCCGAGTGTTCCCTGTGAAGTGAAAGTGTCAGTTGCTCAGACGTGTCTGACTCTTTGTGGCCTGTGGACTGTAGCCTGCCAGGCTCCTCTGTCCACAGAATTCTTCAGGCAAGAGCACTGGAGTGGGTTGCCTTCTCCTCCTCCAGGGGATCTTCCCGACCCAGGGGTTAGACCCAGGTTTCCTGCACTGCAGGCAGATTCTTTACTGTCTGAGACACCAGGGAAGCCCAGGTATTTCTTAGACACTCAAAATTAAAGGAGGTTCCCTGGGAATTTCAGCTGTGTCACTGAGTGGAGAGTTCTCTTCGTTGAGTAACTGATTACCATGTGGAACTCTAATTCCATATGAAAATGCATGAGCTTTTTTCCCAGCTCTCACAGTCCAAGGGCTGTGAACAACAGTTACCAAGAACAGAAGTTAGCAGCCTTGACAGTCTTTTGTCTTTTCTGTGAGTACTTTCCTCTGAAGCAATCTTGAATCCCCCATGAAACGAAAAAAAAAAATCTCATTTTGCCTCTTTAAAGGACTCTTTGAGAACTTCTTAGAGATTTGTCACTTGGAGGTGTGACTACTCTATGCACACAAATTATTGGAGGCCCAGAGACCAGAATAGAACCAGAACCCGAGTGCAGGAAAGGCAGCCGTGAGTTTCAGACCCCTGAGCTCTCAGGCTTGCAAAGGCTGAAGGATCCCGACTTGCGGTGTCCCATTGCAGTAGCCCTCGGATAGCAGAGAGCCCTCTGTGTAACAGGGAACAGAAGGGCTTGGATTTAATATTTCCCAGTTGCCTGGGTCCAGGAAGAAAGACATATTGCCTTCCTTGGCAAGGGAGCAATATATCCCCAAGAATCTAAAAAGAAATGATACAGTACAGAAACAGATTTCAGAGAACAAACTTATGGTTATCATGGGGGGGAAGGATGGAGGGAAGGGATAGTTAGGGAATTTGGGATGGACATGTACACACGGCTATGTTTAAAATGGATAACCAACAAGGACCTACTGCATAGCACAGGGAACTCTGCTCGATGTTATGTGGCAGCCTGGATGGGAGGGGGCTTTGCAGGGGGCAGTGGATATGTGGATATGTATGGCTGTGTCCCTTTGCTGTCCACCTGAAACTGTCACAACACTGTTAATCGGCCATGCTCCAATTCAAAACACAAAGCTTAAAAAAATAATGTCCCGAATGGGAAGAGAACAGCCATGCCCTCTCAAGGTTAGAAGTCCACAGGGTATCCCTCATCTTTTCAGGCCCAAGAATTTGAAATTAGGGCCGAGACATTTTTTAGATAAGCGAGTATGCAGTCAGAATAAGGGATATCTCTCAACAAGAAAATTCTCTGTTATTGAGCTCTGCAGGAACCAGCCCTTTTAAATGTTAGAGATGCCAGAGTAACCAGGTTGAGAAAGGACCAAATTTGTTAAGAGTTCTTCCATTAACCCACTTGCTCTAAAATGTATTTCCTTAGTAACACGTTTTATTTTTGCATATTTTGGATACAGGGTCAAGAATGGCAATCTGACCACTCAACCTAAGATCCTCATCTCTAAAGAGGCTACCCTGCCTTAGTCCAACTGAGGTTACCATCTTGAACTCATAAAGGTTCAGAAGAGAACGCAAGCCCAGTGTTCAGGCCAAGAGCTTTGGAATCAGTCACACTTGAATAAAAATTCAAATGCTTTCACGAGATATTAGACCTCACGTGATTGTCTTACTTCCCCAGACTTCAATGTGTACTTTTGTAAAATGGGGATAACATTAGATACAATCAGTTGTTGTAAAACATATCACACATGTACCCAAAACACTTGGCATCATGTACTGTATATAGTATATTTCCAAAATGGCAGTTTTGTTATTTGTCCTAATACTGCTTTTTGGGATGACTGATGTATGACTGTATTAACATGAACCATCTAGAAAAAAACAAGTTTATAGAGATAGTTGGTTTCCTGGGGCTGGGGATGTGAGCTGGGATTGGTTGCAAATGGGCTCAGTGGAATTTTATGGGATTAACATTTTAAAACTGTTTCATGGTAATGACTGTCCAATTCTGCAAATTTACTTAAAAATATTGAATTACACTCTTCCAGTAATTTTCTGGTACATCCCTATAAAGCTGTTAAAACTGATTTAAAGAAGAAAATCACTCAGGTAAATGCAATGAAGGAAATAAATTGGCTATTGTGATCAAGAACAAAGGTAAGGGGACAGTTAGATACAGTTCTCAGAAAGATTGCCTTGCTAATAAAATAAGCAGGTGGCCTTAGCTGAGGCTGAGCTCCAGTTCAGAAGGTAAGAGGCAGCTTTGTGTGAACTGAGCTAACAGCTCACTGGCCAACCACATAGGTATCTGGACCACAATCCTGCCGTGTATCTCTCAGCTGTGTGATCTTGAAGAAGGTACCTACCATGTTATGTGCCTCTGAAGAGAGACTAATGCATACTGTTATATAGACAAAAATGATGTTCATTTTCTGGCAAATGAACAAATAAGTTAACTGTTATTAACCAGTTATAGATTGCTGGTCAGGAGATTTATGATGCTTCAATGAGTATTTTTGTGGTTAAACCTATGCACATATGCCTGATTCTTTCCTCAAGATAAATTCATAAAAATAATACTAAAGTTCATTAAAAATACATACTTTTAGGTATTTGATACCTCTTGACACATCAGGAAATGCTCAGTCACATAGCTAAGTATATGGAGACTGGAAAGAATATTAATACACCATCTAACAAAAATTCAGTTTTGCCCTATAAGGGTAGGGGCTAATCTCATTCATCTTTTTAGTCCCAAAATTATTGACAATAATGTTTTACACACTTAAAAAAAATATATCCGTTCGGTTGCCCTGGGTCTTAACTGTGGCATGGGATCTTTGGTTGTGCCTTGAGAACTCCTAGTTATGGCATGTGGGATCTCGTTTTCTGACCAGGGATCGTACCTGGGCCCCCTGCATTGGGAGTGAGGAATCTTAGCCACTGGACCACCAGGGAAGTCCCTTGTTTTACACTTTTAATTAGATGTTCATTGAATGAATGACTGACTAAATCTTCCAGAGACAAGGATGGCTTGGTATTTGGATAATTTCTTTAGTGACCAGAGGTACATAGACAGTTTAGTGAAGCCCCGTGTGTAGTTTCCTCCTGGAAGGTTTCACTCCTGAAGTGGAAAGAGGGTCTGACCCTCCAGAGAAAATATTGGAAAAGAAACTGCAGATGAGTGATTATGTTGCAGGGCATTATCTCCTTCAGCTCTTGGGTTCTCTGTGATTCTTTTTTCTGTAAGTCACCAGGAGGGCCATTTTATGCTTTTTGAGATAATTTAGCAACAGGAAAGGGACAAAAAAAGATGAGTCAGTGATAATTAGAGTATAAAATCACCAGTTGCTAATGCATTAGACCTTCTAATAGGTTAGACATAACTTTGAAGATGAGTGAATGCATTTGATGTAGCTAACAAGTCTTCATGGTGCTTTCATAAATGTGTAGCCTGAAGTAGAATTATGAACGGAGGAAACACATATTTTGTGTTCCAGGGTGTATTTTCAATCACTTCCTCTGTCCTTGGTGGCCCCTTCCCTGCTCAGATATGTGCTGGCCTCCCACCCTCATTTGTCCTTTCTTTCCTTTCCATCATTACACACTCTCAGACAAGCAATTGATATGTTACTTTTTTCTTAACTCTTTCTTTAGTATACTTCTAAATATTTTTAACAGAAAGTTGATTGTGTATATATGTATATACACACATACAAACGTATATGGATATAAAATGTGTATATATAGACATATTTAGATTACTAAGGAGTATGCATAGTTGTATATTATATATAATTATACTTTTTATTATATAGACATTAATATAAACAACTCATGAGTGTGTGTGTGTAGTTGACACAAATGAAAAACTTTCCTTCGATTTCACTTGATTTCTATTTTATTTTCAGAAATATTTTTCAGTGTTGAATAAGTGTCATGATTCATTATAAATGGTCAGATAAAAGATAATATTTTAATATGAAAACATGTAAGTTTACCTATATTCACACTCTTGAAAGTAGTTCGTAAAACTTAAAAATTTATTAGTAAAATATATTTTTATATAAAGCAAGAGAGCCACCATTGGTATTTTATGTGAACCCACTAGTGAGGAGAATGCTGTGCCCCGGCTCACAAGGACGTCTTCAAGTATGTTGCCTGCCTGGAAGGTCAAACAAAACCAGTTTTTTTAAGGAAATCTTGATCTGATGTATGCTTATATAGAAGAAGAGATGACAGTCCTCAGCAGTCATGGCAATAACTTAATTTACTTAGGAGAGAAAGATAAGTGACAGGTAGAGAAAATTCCTGTCAAGACTTGGAGACCTTGAGATGAAAGTGAAACTCTTTTTTATATAATCAAAGGTCAGATCCCTAGTAGTTTTGAGAAGCCCTCCTTGATGGTCTCTTTTTATTCATTGGTGTCAAAATGAAATTGAATAAGTCTTAAATTTTCTCTCAGTTTTAATGGAATCAGAACCTCCAGTACATGAGGCAAAAAGACCAGAAGTACAAAACTGTGAAAAATTAGGCTCAGTTTATGATTTATTTACAATGACAAGTTAAAGATATTTGTCTTTATTGTACCTCTTTTTAATATAGGAAAATTTCTATAGTTTTTGATGGTATAATGGATTTGGCCAGTTATCAATATTGTAAAATTATGGCATGTTCTTTCATCCTAAACTATGTTATTGACTGTTAAGTGTCACTGTTTACCATTATGGATCTTTTGTTTTATTAGAATTCTGTAGTCATTCAAGGAATCTCAAAAACAGTTACATACTGTGATACATATCTTGACAGCTAAATATAGGATACTGGAACAACATAGGGGAAAAAGTTGTATTGTTGGTTTTAGGAAAATCATTTTTATGGAAATAGACCTCAATAATAAGAGGGCGATGTAGCTGCAGTGCAGGCATGAGGAGGAGAGGAAAGGAAAATGTGTTAGGGGCTGGCTTGGCCATGGGGAGTGTTTTACTTTTTATCTAATAGGAGATCACCAGAGTTTTAAGCCATGTATTGACTTTTCATCATGTTTTAAGAGCATCTTTATGGATTTAAAAAACGGAGACCAATAGGGTAACATTCTCCCTTGAAGTTCAAGAGTTTCATTGGTGATGTTTAAAACAAATGAATGTTAATCACCTCTAATTAAAAAAAATAGTTTCGATTTCTGAATATGTCCAATTCTGCCTATTAGATTCAAATCAATATTGAATAGTACAGAAGGGTAAAACGAAACGTGGAAAATCACCCCAGGAAAAAACACTAAAGCAAATGGGAGAGCATAGCAGGAGATCTGCAGATCTGTCGCTTTATGCCTTTCCTCTAACTGAGGGATAGAATCCACATCTCTTTACGCCTCCCACATTGGCAGGTGGGTTCTTTACCATTAGCACCACCTGGGAAGCCTTTTCTCATGCTAGATTACTCCCAATAAACAGTATATGAAGTTACCATAGATACTGTATCAGTTCAGTTCAGTCGCTCAGTCATGTCCAACTCCTTACGACCCCATGTACTGCAGTACACCAGGCTTCCCTGTCCATCACCAAATCCTGGAGTTTACTCAGACTCATGTGCATTGAGTAGGTGATGCCTCCAACCATCTCATCCTCTGTTGTCCCCTTCTCTTCCTGCCCTCAATCTTTCCCAGCAACAAGGTCTTTTCAAATGAGTCAGTTCTTCACATCAGGTGGCCAAAGTTTTGGAGTTTCAGCTTCAACATCAGTCCTTCCAGTGAACACCCAGGACTAATTTCCTTTAGGATTGACTGGTTGGATCTCCTTGTAGTCCAAGGGACTCTCAAGAATCTTCTCCAACACCACAGTTCCAAAGCATCAATTCTTCGGTGCTCAGCTTTCTTTATAGTCCAACTCTCACATCCGTACATGACTACTGGAAAAACCATAGCCTTGCCTAGATGGACATTTGTTGGCAACATAATGTCTCTGCTTTTTAATATGCTGTCTAGGTTGGTCATCGCTTTTCTTCCAAGGAGTAAGCGTCTTTTAATTTCATGGCTATAGTCACCATCTGCAGTGATTTTGTGTAGTAAATAATTAACATTTTACCCATCTTCACAAGGAATATTTGACCATAGAAAAGTAACTGTTGTTCAGTTTGGGGGAAAAATACTGTTTCATAGACTTCTATTTCTGCTCTCCTTACTGGCAATACCTTGAAATATGCTCAGGGTTAACCATGATAACATTGCTGCATGGGTTAGAGGATGTTAGAATTAGTTCTTTAAAAATACATACACATATGTCTGTTTTTATGATTATACTTATTTACATGCTTTGCTTTGACTAATAAAGTTATTATGTAACATTGAGACACTAAACATTTAACATTCCTTAAATTATTATGCACTTATTAATGCATCCTATGCATCCAATTAATGTCAATATATTAGATATGTAAATGTTATTGAATTTGTAACCAATCACCCATAAAATAAAATTACATGTGTCTGCATATGAGGTGACTTGATCATACTATCAAACATGACTAAAGCAAACCTCAACTACAGTAGAGCCTAATTTACAGAAAGATAAATGAAATACACAGGAGGTCTTTCTCACTGTGTTTGGGAGAGAAATACAAATAATTGATTTTAGGAAAATAATTAA